GCTCCCGAATGTGCTTTGATAAATGAATCTGCAAGCTCAGCAAAAGAATTTATGGAATTTTCAGGTAAAAGACAATACCATGTTAATGCTCCCTTAGTGAGTGTTTCACCGAATTTTTTGACCAATACTGATTCAATTTCTTGTTTGGTCAAGTCATTGCCTTTTACGCCTGTTGTGAATGCAGTCACGTGGTCTTGTGGATCAGTTGTTCCATCGTATTTTGGAATATCGGGCATTTTGAATTCTTTGGAATTGGGAGGGGAGCATCACTTGGCTTCCAAGGTTGTTGTGAATATTTATCCATATCTATCCCTTTGATTACGGGCGATACTCCAGGTATTTGCTCTATGCGGTCACTTTGCTCCTTAAGCTGTTTCTGCAATATTAGTACTAAATTTTGTAAATCAGAATGACTCGCTGGGGATTCCACCACTACCTGAATTAGCAAGCCCAGAACGAGGGTTCTCCAAAGTGTTATTATTTGGAGTGAGTGTTGGTGGTGCAACGGGTAATTGGCTGACAAAGGCCTCAAGAGCTTTATTGACCTGTTGAGCGATTAGCTTTTGCAAAGCTTCATTGATAGCTTCATCATTTTTGAATTGAACATTTCCATTTGCGTGAGATCTATCAGGAGTGCCTTCTCGAGATCGTCGAGGGGAGCTTTGTAGAGAAGGGATTGGGATGTGGTCATCCTGTGGATTCTCCTGGAGTTGTTGGTTTCCTTGGGTGTTTTCATTGATGTTCGACATAGTTGATGCAACAAAAAAGGTTAGGCTAAGAAAGAGTAGATTATCAGATTCCCGGTAATGGAACCAATTTATTTAACCAAAAAGTGGAATTTTGGTTAAAGCCTTAATTTAGAAGAACTCGGGTTACTGATAATCAAAGAATGAATAAAGGAAAGTGATTTTGCCAACAATAAGATAATCAGAAGAAAACAAAGTAAACCAATGTATTCAGATAGTATTTCGTGTCCTTACAAATGATCCATTCTCTTCTTTTGCTATCTCCAAGTTATACGTTATGCCTTTGTCATAATAAGGCCATTATAGACAATTAAAGGCATTAAATGCTACGTTACATAATCATTGTGATTCAATACATATTCCCTAACGTTTTTAGTATTTAATGCTTATTAAATACTATATTTGTACTCTCTTGTATTGTCAGATTCATTTTCCTTGATTTTTGGATTAAATAACGAGCGTTGAGTCTTCTGAATAACTGCTCATGCCTCTTCATGTGCCTCTGCTCGTATCTGTTGCAACTCGTGCTTCTTTGCTAATCATCATCCTTTGACCAGCCTCCATGTCATGACACGTCATCTTTCAATCACTTCAATATGTAAACTCAATTTTTCCCAATACAATGCCATTAAAATATATGAATTTTATTAATTACATTTAAATTCTCTTACAACGATTTAACTTTAGACCATCAAACTCATTAAGCCAACATGTCCAAAATGAGTCATAAACGAAAAATAAAGAAAAGAAAGCAATTAAAATACAACTAGACCCCTCGAAATAAATTTTAGCTAGCTGAAGTCCCATTACTTATGAGTTATGACTCCATATTTTCGACCAAATTTTCTGCCCTTCTCCCATCCTTATTTATTTACACATTTAAAATTTATATTCCTACAACCCCTTGCAAGTTGAAAGCCCCTTTTGTCCTCCTCTTTTATCTATTATATTTTTTTTAAAAGGAAAATAGTTAGATAATAACACAACTTTTCCCTCGTTCTCTTTCTTTTATAACGGTCATGTTCTTCCTGTCGTCTTGGCTTTATTACATATCTAAAGCTATGAAGAGTTTCATAGCATTTTTGGTGGGGATTTTGTTGGTGTCTTTTCAAAAGACCTCCATACAACAACAGAAAAAGTGAAATATATGGCAGGAAAATAAGGTCTTTAGCCCAAAAAATTTAACATTTCACGCATGCACTTCAATTGTTTGCTTATAAGAGGGATCAGACCCACTTTACTTATAGGAGTGTTTCAAAAATCACCATCAGCATTTTGTGTATATTGGGGTATATTACAGTGGCCATTGCGTTAGTTCTACTGGTGCAGTTGTGTTTATCGATGCTAATTAGAATATAATTGGTGTTCAATTCAATTCGAAAAATGTATGTCGAATGATAAAGAACTAAAAATGCTAAATTATTCGTTTTCAACCAGTGTAAAACTTTCAAATTTACTAAAGTTGCACATTTGGTAAAGAACTAAAAGTGCATTAAATTATAAGCATGATAAACTTTCTTTCCGGGTTGGAAATTGAAGCAAAATACATAATAAACTTTCTTTCCAGGAAATTGAAGCAAAATTTCAATAATATCGCAGAAAAAGAGACCCTAAAAGAAGATCACTAAAGAAAGAGAACAACTTTATTCGGATTTTCTGGAAGAGTTAAAGTATAGTTTTATATCTCTTCCATGTAGAAAGAGGTTGATTCCATCAATTAATCAGAGTACATCTTTATAACTATTTTCTACATAATATTGTACGTAAGACATACGTACATACATGCACCTACTATACTCTTTTGACGACACGAACCTTCAGACCATGTTTCACTAGCATGATAATAGAAGTAGTGGGAGAAATATTTTGAGCTTCCACTAGTTGGATATGGTAGTTGTGTATGATGGTGGCTGCCACTATTTTCAACTGAGTGAATGCCATATTCTTCCCTATACAAGTCCTTGGACCCGCATTAAACGCCGGAAATTTGAAAGATGGTTCATGTTTGATCTTTCCTTGTTCAGAAATCCATCTCTCGGGCTTGAATTCTAAGTAATCCTTTCCCCATATAGTCTCCATTCTCCCCATTGTATAGAACGGTATAATCATTTTTGTTTTTGGAGTGACATGGTGACCGCTAGGAAGGATGTCATGTGCAAGTGGGACTTTGTGCTCCAAAGAAAGTGATGGAAAAAACCTAAGAGTTTCGCACAAGGCACCATGTAGATAGACCAATTTCAGCATTTCTTCTTTGTTGAAAAACTTGAGGTTTTCATCTTTTTTAAGATGCATTTTTTGTTGAATTTCTTCTCTAATCTTTGTCTCAACTAAGGGATGTTTAGCCAAGAACAAAAAAAACCAAGTGAGAGCTGAACTTGTACTATCTCTCCCAGCTAACATTAAATTCAAGAAAGTGTCCCTAAGAAATTTTTGTAATGTACCCAAATCTCCTTTGTTCCATGAATTATACATTTTAATATATGCAGCTAAAAATGTGAAATCTTCGTCTTTGGCCGTTTTCTTCATTAGCTCCTCTTGTTTATGTGAAATGCAAGGATATAGGAACTCATCAAAAGCCTCCCATGCTTGACTGAGTTTCTTTTCTTTACCAATTTGAAGCCATTTTTGCAATTTCCAACAGCTCTCTGGCATTATGTGTCTGAATAGAAGTGCATCAATAGCGTCGGTGAATGCTTTTTCGCATGGCACATGAGGAACGTCAATGGACAAGCTTCTTGGATCGTGATCAAGTAACAACTTGGTGATAGAATCAAAACTTAATCTCTGTAAAATGTCTTGCAAATCAAACGAATTGCCTTGTTCAGCAAAAACATCAAGAATTGGTCGAAGTCGTTTATCCATAATGCCCCACATGTTGTTCTCTAACAATGTTTGAAACTTTGCATGACTCATTATCGACATGGTGATCTTCCTGTGAAGCTCCCATAATTCCGAATCAACGTTAAAAATGCCATTTCCCAATATATCAAATATTTTACGAAACTCGGGTCCCTTTGGATAGTTTGAGAAGTTTTTACTGAAGATATGATGGATATTTGCAGGATCACAAGTAATCAACATGTCCATATTAGCAAATATAGGACCTTTGAACTCAAATGTGCCCCCAGTTTCTGTAAGAACCTTCGTTATATAATCATGGATATGATGAAAATTCAAAATAATTGCTGGCAACATTCCAACGAATGGCCAATATATTGGAGCTGAAGTTTTTGTCCATCTTTTTCGGAGGTACCATGTAATAAAATAAGTGAAACAAAGAATTATCAATAGAAGAAGAGAATATTCAAGGAAATCCATTGAGAGTCGGAGGTTTTCTTTTCCAATCTAGCTTTGGGCTTAGTAAGTTTTGTTGTGTTAAGCAATTCATTCGGACCTTCCATGATGTTATATAAGAGTTGCAATATTCCAACCCTAACGTTTGAGAGGGTCCAAATATATTTAAATATTCTAATTAAGACAATTATTTGAGGACATAGACTGTACACTCTTGAAAAGGAATGGGCAATTTTTTCAATTGTGAACGTTCTTGAAAAGCAAGTTGACTTCATGAGTTCATTCAATTTGCTTTGGTTACTCTTGAATTGCTCACACTAACTTTTCAAGGTAAGCATCGAACTTTTCAAGGTAAGCAATCGAGCTTTCAGATCTCAAATTTTTTTTTATGGACAAACGAATATTTTTGTTGTTTTGCTTTTCACCCACTGTTTGATATTCGTTTTGTGGTCCGATCAAACTAGATTTGCCCTTATAAATTCCATTTTTGGAGTAAAGCATTCCCCGCCAAAGCCGATATATTCCATCCTCGATGCTCAAATTAGGACATGAATAAGAATGAAAGAGTACGAACCATTCCACCACAACTTAGTGGAGGGATGAATGGATATTTTCATCTTGCTGGCGAAGTATGAACAAAAAGACAAGGAAAAAAGCATTTGAGTTTACAAAAAATAACCCAAAAAATAAAACGAATTCTAGTAGGGAACGATTCTCTCTCTCTTTAATGAACCCTATGCAGCATGAATATGGATTAATCGAGTCAGTAGATAATATCAATTGATTATACCGAAAAGTAACAAAAGTAGTTTTTTTAACCAAAAGATATTGTTTGGGTTCACAAGGTCAATCTATCTATACCCATCTATATCTATCATCATCATCATATTATTTATTATATTATTATTATAAAAGTGGGAAGCCCCAAAGTTGAAAGTTAGATTACGAAAATACCCTTCAAAAGTAGATCAACATAATTACCCCATCCAAACATTATTTCTACAATATTTTAAAACTACCAAATAGTAAATTGACCATCTAATAAATAGAATAATTATAAATGATGAAATGAAAAGTCATTAGCGTACAGTTCTATCTAAAGAATTTGAAGAGTACTTTGAGTAATTAATGCACTAAATTCAGTTAATCAAAATATTTTAATGCATATATGGACCATAATCATTTATTAAATGTCTATACATGGTGAAATTCAGAGATAAAATGACGGTTGGAGAGACCTTTTTTCCTCATTACTTTCTTCCATTCAATTCCCCTTAAATTCTTACTTTTAAGATCCATCTTTACAGGGGAAAAAAACACTACACAAATCTCCAGTAACCAAAGAGAGGGTTTTAGATGATTTCCTTGGAAAGAGAAGTCGAGATGGCGACAACATTAGTCTCCATTGCATCTCGCCTAATGTCTCTTAGATATGTGCAAGTTTCTGTACCGTTTTCCCTTAGCAAATTACTGTAATTTATAACTTATGTCTTTATTGATCTATTTTTGTTTCATCAATACATCTATTAAAAATATGCGAAAAACCAATATTCATCACATGGTCCTTTTTCTTTCATAATATATGTTGGTTTCTTTGCCTATAATATCTTATGAATTTTATTGCTTAATCTATCTTCGACAAGTTGCTACAACAAGACAGTGTCTGTGATTGTGAGTTATATGCACGGCTTTTCCTAGATTGTGTTGGTAGCTCTTATTAGCCACTTTGGTAAATATTTGATATAATTGCTTGATTTTCATTATTTTTTGAAAGTGAAAGAAATATAATACTGTTAGAAGAAAAACCTACAAAGGGCTGAAAGATGTACCTTTCAAGAAGTTGAGTGAGTTAAAGCTACTGCAAAATGTGTGACCTTCTAAATTTGCTTCTATAACTATGCGTTGATTCTGTAGAAGATAAGTTTTTTCCTCTGATAAACTTTGTATTAAATAAGGGTTGTATGTCTGTAGTGTAGGGGTAGGGGTGTCAATGGTTCGGCCGGTTATTTTATAAAATTTGTACCATACCAATTTTTCGGTTATTCTATTATGTATAACCAAAATTAGACTTTTCGAAACCGTTCCAATCATGTCGGTTTCTCTTCGGTATCGGTACGGTACAATTAATTTTCGGTATTTTTTTTAATATCATGTAAAATTCACCAGTAGAAGTAGAATTGCAATAACATACGTTCTTTATAGGACTTAGCAAAACTCTCTAGGCATTTTTACAGTTTAAATAGTGATGAATTAAAAAAAAAGATGGCTAGAGTATAGATCCATCAACTATTCTACAACAGTTTAAAAGAAATCAAACAAAGGCAAAGAAAATATTAATCACACGAGATATACCAAGCTGGGAATCAAGAATAAAGTCTATAGAAGATTAAATATTCAAAAAAATAAATCTAAATTATATGAAAGGAAACATATTCAATACATTGTAGTTTGTTACTCATAATCGATAAAATACTTTTGAGTTACTCATAATCGCTAGAATATTTGTATTACTATATATTCAATAAAAAAGATACTTGAAATAACTTAGTTTAATTAGAAGTAGCATAATAAGTTTTAGGAATTAGTATTT